GGGGTTTAGGGTGGAGGGTTTAGGGCGTATGGTGTAGGGTTTAGGGTTTGGGGCCTTGGGCTTAGGGGGGTTCTGGATTCAGCATGTGGGGGCTCCGGGGGGTGACTTGTCTAGGGTTTAGGGTGTAGGGTTTAGGGTTTAGGGTTTAGGGTTTAGGGTTTAGGGTTTAGGGTTTAGGGTTTCTAAACCCTAAACCCTAAGCCAAGCCTAAGGAATAGTGTTCCTAAGTATTCAGACCCCTGCGTTCAGCATTCCGGCGCTGGATGTAAAATCCGAAACCCTAAACCCCGAACCCTAAACCCCAAACCCTAAAGCCTAAATCCTAAATCCTCAAACCTTAAACCCTCCATGTAGGGCCCTAAACCCTAAACCCTAAACCCTAAACCCTAAACCCTAAACCCTAAACCCTGGGTTCCGGGATCCCACCTTCGCCCCTTGAGCCCTAAGCCGCTACTCGCTTCTGCCCTCGAGGTTTTCGGGTTCAAGGTCTCGGGTTCAGGGCTGAGAGTAGGGTTCAGGGTTGAGGGTTTAGGGTTTAGGGCAGTTTAGGGTTTAGGGTTTAGGGTTGAGGGTTGAGGGTTTAAGATTGAGGTTTTAGGGTTGAGGGTTTTCAGGGCTTTGAGTTCATGGGTTTGCAATAGAACCCAGGCCCCGCGCCCTATCAGCACCCCGCAAGTACCCTTTAATTGAGCCCTTGTTGTCCTTCTCAGCGGGTCTTTCGGGTATAGTAGAGGGTAACCTAAACCCTAAACCCTAAACCCTAAACCTTAAAAACTAAAGCCTAAACCCTAAACCCTAAACCCCTAGGGTGCTGGTGAGCCCCTGACTTCTAGAAGCTCCCCGATGCTGACCAGGAGATGGACCGAACATTCCTACAACGCATGGAGGCCGGATCTTAGTAAGTATTCGGCTTTAGAGTTTAGGGTTTAGGGTTTAGGGATCCTAGTAAGTATTCGGCTTTAGGGTTTAGGGTTTAGGGATCTTAGTACGTCTAGGTTCCTGAGTAGTAACCCTTTTGCCCCTTGTTGCGGTATGGCTCCCTTAGTAAAACTGAACAACATGAAAAAGTGTACGCTGATTTTGCATACCATGCTGTATTATCTAGGGGTCACTCAGGAACCTAGAGGTATTATAGGCTTAGGAAACGTAGGGTGTGCTGTTTAGGATTTGGACTGCAGGATTCGGATTGCAGGGTGCAGAGTCGAGATGTGTGCGATAATGCCGTCATGGCAAGGGCTTAGGGCTCCGGGTTGATGATGATACGGTGGATGATATAATTCCTGCATAGCCCATAAAAAGGAATATACTTTAGGGATTAGAGTTTAGGGACCATAATCCCCATAGTTTAGGGTCCTTAAGGTAATGCAGGAGTTTTATCATCATCAGTATCAATCATTAGTGTCTGTCTTTGGCTTGCGACTCGTCCTACGAGTACTGGTACCATGAGGACGTCAACCAAAGCCAGCCTGAACCTTGTAGCCCCAAACCCTAAACCCTAAACCCCAACTAGAAATCCTCAAAGCCCCAGGCATTTTTGCAGTCTCCGCGCTCTGAGATGCTGATCACTTGCCTCCTCTGCGTCAACGTCTTGTGGATGGCCTTCGAACTGCAGGTAGAGGCCGAACTTCTAGGGTTTAGGGTTTAGGGTTCAGGGCCGAAAATGGCGGACCCTAATATAGTACCCTGAATAGTGGGATCCTTAGTTTCAAGGGCCCCAATAGGGTATCCGAATTTTCGGACGGTCCTCAACCCGCTTAAATCCGAACTCCAAAACCGAAGCCCAGAAACCCTGAACCCTGAATATAAACCAAAAGCCCTGAACCCTGAACTAGTGGTAGGTTCTAACTCGATAGATACTGTTGATGATATAGTATCCTGCATTATTTTTAAGGACCCGAACTATGGGAATTATGGTATATTCCTGATTATGGGCAATGCAGAATTTATATCATTAACCGTAGGTAAAGGTATCTTCTCTCTCAGGAAGGGGGGACAACCTTGTCCCGGACACTTTGGACCGAAGGTTGTAGTTTAGGGTTCCCAGGAAGCCTGATGTTGCCCGAAACCCTAAAACGTAACATCTTAACCTCAGAGTACTTGCCAAGCACCCGCGGTTCTCCAAGCCTTAGCAGAAGCTGCATGGCACCAGAAAAGGTTTAGGAGTTTAGGGTGTAGGGCCTTCTGCCCTGTTTGGGATTTAGGGGGTATCTGCGTTGGAATTGGGCCCTGCTTGCATGCGTGTTTCAGGTATTTTGGCAACTTGCACACTGTTCAGTGTATGTGTACTGCAGCCCTGCAACTCGGCGTTCTTGAACTCAAACCCTACAGCCCAGCACCCCGAACCCTAAACGACTTCTGCACCCTAATCAAGAAGCATAATCCGCTAAAAGGCCCTGAAAGCCGTACATTTTCTACCATGCAGGCCGCTATATCGGTCCCCCAGAGCCCCATACTTTCATCCAAGCCAAAAACACAAAACTAAAGTCCTGTTTGCCCGGACCCTAGACCCTATAAGCCGCAGAAGCCCCCCTAAACCCCCAAACCCTAAATCGGAAACATTATCCTAAAAGCCCGCACCCTTAAACCCTCCGGCATTCAGGGCTCCATCGTCGGCACGGAGTTGGGCCTGTACCCCGCGTCCGATGAAGAATGGTTTCCTACCCGCTCCCCAGCCTCAAAGCTTGGGGAGTCGCCAACAAAGCCCCCCCAAAAAAAACCTTGATATCAGGGCCTTATATAAGTACCTCCATTATTTTTGGGGCTTCCTTCTTGCAGTTATAGTACGTAGAATATACCCCAAAACCCTATTCTATAATTATTAAGGCCCCTAACATCCCCTACATAACACCCTAAACCCCCTAAGCCCTACAACTCCTATACCCTAAACCCGAAACCCCAAAACCCTAACCCTCGCTGTTCAAACCCTAAACCCTAAACCCCAGTTGGGATTCCACCGACAACTTCCGAAAGAGGCCAAGTCCTTTTCATTTGGCCCATGGTCTGAACTCTTAGGGTTTTAGGCTTTGGGGTTTAGGGTTTAGGGTTTATGGTTTAGGGTTTGGGGTTTAGGGTTTGGGGTTTTGGGTTGAGGGTTTCGGGCTTAGGGTTCAGGGTTTAGGGTGCTTCAGGGGATTAGGGTTGACATCATATGACATTATACGCATTATATTGCGTTATGTTCTATCATAGGCGCCATCTACTTCCGTGCCGGCGACGTCTTCTTCACATCCTTGTTTTGCTTGGACGTGGTGGTGCGCGTCAGCGTTATGAGAGCCAAGTTCTTCAAGACCTGCATGTGCCCTTGTCCGCACAGACTTCACGGATCTCTTGGAGTTGGGGGCTTACAGTGGTTGTTTAGGGATTTAGGGTTCAGGGGCAGGTGTGGGAGATCAGTACATATCAATTGCGCCGCGCTGGAAGATCGGTTGGGCGTGCATGTATCGGGATCCTTCTGTAGACGGTTAATTGTCGCACTTGAAAACTTTCACGAAAAACTGCATGAAGCCGCTGACACACCACCAAGCATCAAGGTATGTCAATCTGTCAATTCATGATCCATCATAGCTCAGGAATTTGTGGTGCCTCCTTCCCGTCGGTTCGGGTGCTAGAATCAGGTATTGCAGGATTTCGTCCATCTGCAGTAGCATGAGAGGCAGGGATGGAGGTGGCCCTAAGCCTAAACGCTAAACCCCTAAACCCTAAACCCTGAACCCTAAACCCTACACCCCAAACCCTAAGACCCAAAGCTTAACCCTAAACCCCTAAATCCTAACCCTGAACGCGCATAACGATCAGCGGCAGTGCAGGGCCTCTTCGGAAGTGTAAGCGTTGAGTTTCCGAGCGATCTGTCCAGCTGAGTTAAGGGGTTTAGGGTTTCTCTTGGAAGGTTTACCACGAGAGGTTCCACAAGTTTGTTTAGGTCCCTAAAGTTCGCTTGAGGGTTCCTGTAAGGGTACCATAACGGTTTAGAGTTTAAGGGTCCATGTACCCAAAGAGTATATACTTTGGCCTTAAAGTTGTCCACAAAAAGGTAGTTTGGGGCCAAAGTCTATACTATTTGGGTACATGGACCCTTAGGGAAACGAGCATCAATAATAATCAGAATATGATTTTGGGACGTGTTATAGAAGAGCTATTACTTGGAAATTTTGTTTATTGCAGGATGGCTGAATATCCAGCCGCTTGTTACAGAATATCATAGGTTTAAGGTTCAGGGTTTCGGGCTCTAGCCGTAATCCCACAACATGGGGGAATATATTATCACGCCCCTAAGCTTTTTCGTGCAAATTCTCAGCGCGAAGCCCTCAACTTCTTAGATACCCAAGCCCTGAACCCTAAACCCTAAACCCTAAACCCTAAACCCTAAACCCTAAACCCTACCAGGAACTACTTGGATATGCTGGTGTCCTTTGCATCGCTAACAGAGTTGGTCGCGATCGCCTTTGTGCTCCTGGGCCTTTGGGTTTAGGGTTTAGGGTTCAGAAAGCGCTGGTGTTCAGGGTTTGCGCTTTTAGGTTTAGGGTTTAGGGTCCCCTAGGGTTTAGGGCTTATGAGGTTAAGCCTAAACCCTAAACCCTCCCCTGAAGGGGTTTAGGGTTCAATGCTTTAAGGTTCAGGATTGCAAGGTTCAAGGTTTTGGGCTTCCGGGGTGTAGAATAAAAGTTTTAGGGTATTGGTGTCTGGGATGTCGGGTTTCGGGTTGAAGGTTTTGGTGTGTTTAAGGTTCATTCAGGCAGGACTAACTTGAGAGTATCGTAGTTGTCGCGGTTCATGTGCGTCACCTGTTTCGGTTTGCTTTTGGTCAGAGCTTCGGGGCTTCAGGGTTCATGGCGCAGGTACTAGAGCAGCCTGTTTGGGGGTTCCTCATTATAGTTATAGTTATAGTATACTATACCCCGAAACCCTATTCTAGTTATTGAGGTCCCTAGATTATCCCGAATCCCAACGTTTAGGGTTTAGAGTGTAGCGCTGAGGCAGGTAAGTGTTTTGCTCGTTTACAGCCTAGTTGTTTCAAGTGGGGCTCGAGGACTTTGAGGTGATCGGGGGTGCTTCTAGGGCAGAAGGAGTTCTGGGTTTATAGAGCCTACTGCAGCCTGTCTAAGAGCACGAATAAGGCAGAAGGGTTATAGGTTTATAAAGCCTATTGTAGCCTGTCTAAGAGCACGAAGGTCAAGACATGAAGGGCTGCGCTGTGAACCTGAAATTTAAATAGACGCTGGAACCGACACCTGAACTCGATAGCACAACTGCCGCAATCTACAACCAGGTCGACGTGGCATTAAACAAGAAAACCCTAAACCCTTGCAGCCCTAAACCCTATAAACCCTATAAGCCCCATAAGCCCTAGACCCTAACCCCCTAAACCCTAAACCTTAACTCTCTATAAACCCCTAAACCCTATTAATAAACCCCTAAACCCTAAGCCCTAGAGCATCGGTTTCCTGCGACATGCGACATATAACGGATCGAACACTCGAGCAGTCCCTGCCAGGATGCGTGCAGAAAAAGAGCTCAATGGAATAACCGGAAAAGGGTATTAGGGTTTGGGGTTTAGGGTTGCCTCAACAATTGGACTAGGGGTTTAGGGGTTTATGGCAAAAATGGGCCCCCAAAATCATGTTCTAATTTTTAAGGCCCCTACATTACCCTTATAATTGCAGGGGTCACTCAGGAACCTAGGATATGATATACATGAACTTGTTGCTTTAATTCTTAAGGCCTTCTAGTTGCGGATGCATGATCTTGCTGAGGATTGGCACAGCTCCAAGTCAAGCTTTAGCCCAAGGTCTTGAAGGAGACTGCTACTACTGCCATATGGAGAAGTTACGTCTGATCTGCCTTTCGTGGAGTCATCTTTATTGTTGAGCTCCCACACCTACGAACAAGTCCCAAACCCCTTAGGTTTAGGGTTTAGGGTACCCTTACAAGGCTGTTGCGTGTTTGTCGGAGCGCAGAAAAGTCAAGGCACCCTTAAACTTTTAAACCCCCTAATCTTAAAACGTAAAAAACTATTCCCAGAGACTCCAATATCCCTTAATTAAGGAATATACCATGCATCTTATTGGGGTTGCTAGTATAACTTAAGGTATATTCCCTAATTAAGGGGTTTTGGAGTCTCTGGGGTCAGGCTTCCGGTGAATCCTCTACTCTTCCGCTTGATTCGCCTCGGTAAGCTCGCAAGGGCCCTTCGCCACTTGGCTTGCAGGGGTTCAGGGTTTAAGGTTCAGGGTTTAGGGTTTAGGGTTTAGGGTTCAGGGCTTCGAGTTGAGGCTGCAAGCTGAATCACCCAGAAATGAGTCTAACCCCTAATTAAGCCTTATACCCTACACCCTAAGCCCTAAGCCCTAAACCCTAAACCCTTAACCCTTAACTTAAACCCTAAGCCCTAAACTCAGGGGTTTTGGGGTTTCTGGCTTGGGGCTTGGGACAGGCCGAAGATTCAGGGGAGTGGGGGAGGGTTGCGGGCTGAGGTATCTTACTAGTTCAAAGCTCCCCGAACCCGGGGTTTAGGGTTTAGGGTTTAGGGTTTAGGGTTTAGGGTTTAGGGTTTAGGGTTTTGGAGTTGAGGGTTTAGGGTTTAGGGTTTAGGGGAACCGTAATTTCTAGTTTTAACTTACAATTTCTAGAAGCCTTAAAAACCTTGAACCCAAAACCACAAATTCTGGACGCCTTCAACCCTAAACCCTAAAACACGAATTCTAGAAGCCTTTAGTTCTAAAGCCCAAACCACAAGTTCTAGAAGCCTTAAACCCTAAACCATAAATGCAGAGACCTTATAATCCCTGAACCACAAATTCTTGAAGCCTTAAGCTTTAAACCCTCAAAGAGAAACCCAACGAGGGTAGGTCTTTTAACCAGGGTCCCTTTCTAGGTCCCGAAATTAATACGGCACTCTTATACAGGAACCTAAGTTCGAGAACTACTCAAAAGCGATGAGCCCTGCCCAGGAATGGTGACGATTTCTCAAGTCCTCTCATCCCTGCAGCTCCTGACGAAATGTTTAGCCGCCACTTGGGATGCGTTTCGGCTGTAGGGTTTAGCCTTAGGCCATCGAATGATTCGAAGATAGCACTGGGGCCTCTAGTAAGTCGAGCAAGCTCTTCGAGTAAATCCTTCTAGCTCACAACTAAGTAGGCATCGATAGGATGTTAGTCAAAATGCATGACACGCTGAGGCCGGGACATTTCGAAGATGTAACCTCATGAGCCTCTCCCATCCCCGCATAACCTTGACACAAACATTCGGCCATCCGAAAGCCCTTAAGCCTCATTCCGGTTGAGGGTTGTTTCATTCCGGTGTAGGGTTTAGGGTTTAGGGTTGGGCATCTGGAAGCCCTAAACCCTAAACCCTACAGCCTAAACCCTAAACCCTAAACCCTAAACCCATCCTGAACCCTAAGCCGCAGCTGAGGCGAGTATCGACATGCTCTTCTGGACCTTCTGCTTGCTGACGTTCTTGCAGTGCCTCGGCATTGAGCCCTAAACCCTAAACCCCGAACCCAAAACCCTATACCCTACACCCTAAACCCTAAACCCTAAACCCCAAACCCCAAAACCCTACACCCCAAAACCCTAAACCCTAAACCCCAAAACCCTAAACCCTAAACCCCAAAACCCCAAAACCCTAAACCCTAAACCCCAAAAGCTTCTAACCCCCAAAGGC